AAAAAAAAAAAAAAAAAAATTAAACTTGTCATGAGATATAGCGCAATCGATGAATGTTTTCTTAGCTGTACTAACAATAATAAAAGGCAAATAAAGAATCGAGTCTTCGCGAGGGCGACCATTGTCACGCTCCATTTCGCGATTTTTTTCTACCAGAGTTTTATAAACTATGAGCTAAAAATAGAATTTGTAAACTTACCACTTAATCACTCGAACAATTACTTAATAAATGAGGAGTACTTCCACTTTTTAAAAACTTAATTCATAAGAATATCGATTCCATTACAATCAACTATGATGATATTTATATTAATTCATGTTCTCACTCATTTTCTCATCGAATAAGCAGATCATGTCAAAAAAGGTAATTCCTTATTCCAGCAAGCAAAATACAACTAAATATTCAAAAATTAAAAATCAGTGGCATATATTTTAACAGCAGCCTACTAAATTACAAAGAACACGTGCGATAACTTCTGTATAAGATCATAAATATCCTTGTAAATGATAATTCGTGCTGCCCACAAAATAATTCCTACTGAATAAACTATTTGCCTGTATTATGAGTTCCTGAAGTTGTTCACATTTATGACGTATCCTTTCTTTACGTTTCACTTTTTCCTCCTCAAGTTTTCGACATTCTTGCAATGAAGAAGTAGGCAAACCAACCCATCTAATTTCTTTCCTTTCTTTTTCAATAATATTCATTGCCATTAAAACGTTTAATGCATCGTACACTCTACGCCGTATATTCTTCATATCGTACTGCTGCTTTTCCTTAACATTTGACAAACTTAGCGAACATAAAAAAATAAAATGAAATATCAGTAGGCTTTGACAGTCGACTGACTGTGTTGGTCAAAAGACGTACTGTAAGTAGAGTGATATTTTAAAAAAAATTATTTTTTCGATTATCAAAGGTAATTTTACACATATTTCTTAATATCTACGTAATACTAAATAGGATATTAAAATGCAACTTTTTGTTAATTTCTTTATATTTATATATTTAGTCACTGGAATTTTTAATAGATCTACTTTTTCAGGTGTGTAATAAAGCTACGTAATACTAAATAGCGCCATAATAAAGCATTTTTTATAAAAAATGAGAATATATTTCGAAAAAATACCGTATCTGTGGGCTGAACATCAGCCGAATCAAAATATTCAGACACTAATTCATCCGCTACCTAAAATTTTGACAAACAGTCAAGTTTCACTGATGGTAGCTAGTTCATATTCAGATCTCTTCAATCAAAAAAGAAAGAAGAAAAACAAAGAAACATTTAGGAAGAAATCATCAAATAATTTGCAATATATGTATTTTAAAAAGATTAAGAGTAAAGAATTTAGTACCTGAAAAAGTAAGAAAATATTAATTTCTTAATAAACACTAAACTGGTTTTAAATTTTGAAAAATTAAAAATACAACAGTAGACAGTAATATCATACATACTTCATTATAGTTTGTATGTCCCTTTTCCTTTACTTTCTCACATACTTTGGTGCTGAAGTGCCGTAAGCCTTTAGACTTATCAGCAGTACGAGGAAACTTCCGAATCATGTTCATATCACAATTATAGTCATTAGATGTCCTTTTTCCGGGGTAAAACGGCGAAATACCACTAGGATGTGCAATCATTCTACTAAGAGGCATATAGCGATTTGAGACCAATTGTGACGTAGATAGAGGAGGACTTGGCCGAGAATTCGCTGCCGAAAATCTTTGTTTCGTGATTCTTTCAATCTGTACATGAAAATAAAAGAAGTTTTACGTAATTTATCACACTTTAAAGCAAAGTCGTTTTTTATTTTTCAGAATACGTGAAATGATTATAAACAGGTATGGTAGTTCCAAATGATATATTTTCACAAATTTCATATGGATTAGCTACCAAAAAAGTTGTTCCTTACAGGAGCATGAGTATTCTGCACAACTTGAGAGCTGACTCTGCGTGCTGAATGTGAAATAAGTTCTGGTGGAGAAGAAATTCTTTCCCGTTCATTCATAGCCTTTATAAAATGCTTGATAAAACCTGAAAAATAACAACAAATGACTTTATTATCATGCTCAAAAATTGCAAAGTTTATGAATTCTGAAGTTTTATCAATGAATTAAATAAAAAAGTTTCATTCTAGATCAAATTATCAATTGCTGAAACCCACCAAATCTATTAATTAAACATTTAGAAGTAAAAAAAAGAATTAAGGTGATGTGTTAAATGAATGAGTTCTGGCTAGCCTGAAAACGGAACAGTAAAAAATGAATATTTATGACTGTTGAAGCTTTTGCTTTAAGAACAGCTAATAGTAATTTTAAAAACGAATTCAGTAAAATTTTTTGTCAGGAAATTCTTAATAAATTTACTTAAAAAAATTTTGTAAGAAAGATTATTAGAAGAAAGATATACTAAATTTTTGCGAAATAAATTAAATAAAGCTGACATCACTTTTTTATAAAATTGTGGAAAAAAAACAACAAAAACTAGAGTTTAACTTGCAGAAGTGATTAACAATGGCAATGCTTAGTAATTAAATACAAAAAGATTTTAAACTTATATCAATAATGACACTAATATTTTATTACAGCTGTGAAATTAAAAAGATAAGGATATAGAAGTTGTAGGAGAAAATATAAGTGTACATAAAATTCCATACTAATGTGAAAATGTGATTACTTTCTGTACTACGAGAAACCGTGTAGTACGCGTGACCATACTTCAGGAAATTTCACGTAAAACACTGCACAGCAAAAAGATATTCCTTTTCCAAAACCTGAAATACTATGGATTATAAGCGTACGACAAAGAGTGAAATGAGGCGGGACATAAACGTGCCAATTTTCTCCTACATAATATCGAAAAATTGAATAAATAGAGTGACAAAACCCAAAAGTACCGTTGCAACGCAAAACCCATTTTATATTATTATTAATTTTGTGTATAATTTATAATATAATTCAGTGACTTGAAGCGTAAACTACTTAAACAGTCAAAATGTACAATATCAAATCACGTGACATCACGCAAGAGTTGTGTTTACCTATGTTACGTAAGAAATTAAACAATATATTTTTGCAAAATGAAATTAAGCAATGAAGCACTTACATATGATATGTAAAAGAATAATTTGAATATTAGTTATTCAAATTTGTGAAGAATAATTACGAATACTTAAACACATGTAAGCAGAATTTTATTTTTGATATTTTTTCATTAGCTTGAAATTGGACAGCCTTACCGTTCGTGAGTTTATTGTAATCTTTTGATACTGTAATGTTTGAATGATAGAGTTTTTGCGATATTACGATACTGCCGCATATTTTTCAACTGCAGCATTGCAATATTCTTCAAACACAGTAACATTTAATAGTAATATCACTTCGCTTACTGTAATTTGTACAAGTAAAAGGTAGTGGTACTAAAAAATTACTTCACTAATTGTTCAGAATCTAAAAATCACGATAAGAAACATGTAATATTTGCAGTTAGCATTATAAGAACAATTTTAACAACAATAGAAGAAGAAAAAGCTATGTAAAGATTCTTCTTTGTGAAAAAATATTTATATTTGCAAAAATAAAATGCATTAATGAAAGTTTGTATTTAGAAAGGTCACGTAAATCGGAGATAGATTCAGAAAGTAATACGCAAGACAAAATGGAGGATCAGTCTGAGAGAGAGAATTCGTCACAAGTTTATGACACAGAAGTTCCTATGAATTCTGTTACGGGAACAACTTTGGCATTAGAGCAGTTGCGTGAGAAGTTAGAACGTCGCGAGTCAAAAATTGAAGATTTACGTCAGACTATCATGGGATTAAAACGTGTTGTTGCAGATCAGCAAGATGAAATTAATCATTTAAGAAATTTAAAAAGAAATGCTGACAAAATGGTAATATTTACTACTATCAATTCAATATTAATTATTATCAAATAATTTAATACCAATTCGTTTAGCAATATCCTATCAAAAGTATTAAGTATGATATGATATGATATCACAATATCATATATTAAAAAGTATGGTAATTTGCAGCAAATTTCAAAGATTTGTTTGCCAATTGAGCTCATTAAAATGATTTTTTATCATTGTGACGCGATTACACGTTGCCGTATTTCTTCTTTAAACAAGAGGTTTATGAATTTGCAGGCAATAATCTCAATTATAATAAATATTTTATTAAATATTACTCTTTGGAAAAAGTCAGATATTTTTTATTAAATTAGACAATTCAAAAAAGTTCCTTAAATATTGTTTAACAATTTGAAATATTTAAGCAAAAGAATAAGAAAAATATTGCAAAAAATTAATACGAATTGTTAATGCTATTTTTACTCATAAAATATATTTGATCAAGAACTAAATTAATTACAGGCGTCTTTCAATCAAAAAGTATGGTATTACTTAATTTAAAAATAAATTTCAGTTTTGCTGGGGAATTAAGTAACTGGATCGATGTTCAACACCTTTACATCACTAGAGTACCAGTTGAGGATGAGAATAACAAAACAGTTTGCTTTCTGATTCCATTTCAATTTAAAAATTAACATGTAACTTCATATTTTCCTTTAACCTTTTGACCTTTTAGTGAAAAATGCTTCAGATTGTCCTTCATGCTTATCAAGTTATAACAAATTCACCTTATGTGGGAGTGATTCGTACAGCTAAAGCTATTCCAATGCTTCATAATTTTCGGTCAAACTTTTATTTGTTTATTCATTAATATAATTCTGAAAGTCAATGTGTACATAAAAGTAATTGTAAAAAAATAAATCACAAATTAATGAATTAGATTGTAATCAGTGAGATAAGTTTTGAATATTAAATGACTAAATTTGAGATATCAAAGTTTTCAGTAATGTGAAAACAATTCTGGTAGAATCGTCGACTCTGCGCTTCCTCGATCGATGCAATAAGATTAAGCCCGAAGAGGGATTCTTCTCGTTACTCTCCAGACTAGAAACTGCTAAATTATGTAGCATTCGAGATAATTTAGGGTAATGACTATTAAATTAGTATCTGCTTTACATTACTTAACTATTTAAGTAATAAGCAAGGATTTTCGCTAACTTATAATCACAATAATACTAAAATTTGCATCGAATTTTACACAAAAAAATTCTTAAAAAATTTTTTGTGGAAAGAAAAAAGAAAAATTAAACAATACTATTTCATATTTAAATTTTCATCAGAAATATTTTCGAATTTTAGCTCTAAATATTTCAAAGTATGCAATAACATAAACTTTTAAATATTGTATCTCTAAAAAATGATGCATATTTTAATATAATATGTGAAATGCACTCATATTTTGAAGTGTATGTACATAAATATCTGCCAGTTAAATTTAACAAAATATAAAAGTTTTTGATAGATGCTAATTTATTTCGTCAAAATATATTACTTTCACAGTCAGAACTTTTAAAAATCTTCTGATAAGTTAAAGAGCATTAAAAAGAATAATTCAAGATTGATTCTATGACAGCAATAATAATAAAAATGATAATAATAATAATAATAATCAGGTTTAACTACTCAAATAAATCAAACCTGGATTTGATACCTGTTCTTTGTTTCACATTATAAAAAAAGTCTAAGCTTGAGTAAAAGTTATCTTTATCAAAAATCAAATGCCAAATAACTTTACAGACTGCTTTATACGTTAAGTGACTTTTTGACTTTGCCGAATCTTCGTACGCTTCATATTAGAGAATCGCTTACCGTAACAGAACTACCACCACTTGAGAAAATTCGCGCACCAATTGAAGATCTCAGAATTTGCACCCATCGAATACGATTGCGTCAATTGCTAGCTCTCTGCCGAGCTTTGTCGCCTACTTTACGTCGTCTAGAATTGCTATTGACGTTAATTCTACCCGAAGGACCTGCAACTGTTGAAGCAATCAATCTTTTTTTTTAGTTTATTAATTCTAAAATTTAGAGATTGCGGAAAGTTATATCATAAATAAAAATACTATGAATTTTCGCAAATTAATAAAGTTCAAGTTTATAAATTAGAAGTTAATTTGCAGAATCGAAGTGCAGCTGTAATCGAAGTTGCAGAAACAATGACACATATGCAAAATTTAAGTCATTTAACTCTTGCTCGAACATTCATCAAAGTTAGTTTTTGTCATTTTTTTAAATAAAAAAATTTGCATATTCAAAGTGATTTACAAAAAATAAACGTTTTTTAGCCTTCAACAAGTGAACGAGTTTTTGAACTTTTACGCACATTCAAGTTTTTGACAATAATTACATTTGAAGCGCTGAATCTGAACGACATCATACGACTTTCTAACTTATTTCTTCCTCCAAACGTATATTTTTTATCATTTTATTTTGCAGAATTAATAAGTTTTTGATTTGATTTGATCTGATCTTATTTCTAAGTTTATTATCAACTTTTTTTTTTCAAATGTTTCATTAATGCATGCAAACACTGTATTCAGACAAAGCGAATCATAATAACAGAATCAGTTAGAATTGATCCAGCTTGGTATCCACTAAATTCAGCATCCATGGAATTTTTTGACATTTTCAACGATGAAAGAATGCCAGTTAGTTTATGATTATGTGACAATTACTTTAATTAATAAGAATTAATATTATGGTAAAAAGTATCAAAATTTTATCCCAAAAATTATCTCTCAATAAATAATTTTTAAAAATTACAAAAATTCTATTATATCTTTTAGCTGCAAAATAAATTTAATTGTAGATATTACATGATGCATGCCGTAAAGTTCAGCGTGATATAATATGGCAATTTGGTAGTCTACGTGGTATGAATCCGATAACAATAAATTTGCAAATAGGTCTCGTAGAAGTTGTGGCTAACAAATCTGCGCCCATACGGTTCAATTTACGAAAGAATGATTGTCGAGTATTTGTTTGGAAGGGGAAAATACTTACACGTACTGAATATCTAAAAATAAATGATATCAATATTGATGGTGTTATATGAATATTATCTGAATATTATTTTATATAAAATATAATAAAAATATCAATATGGACAATACAAAATGAAAAATTTTGCGTTAATAAATAAAACAATTATAAAGATTAATAGAATTCATTTAATAAAAATTAGTTAATAGCATAAATTGATTTAGATGTTATTTGATATAACTTTTTAAAAAATTATCTGAAATTTGCAATGAAATGTAAATACTATTAACTAATTCTTATTATATAAAATTATTTTCATTATTTATGTATATATATATTCAAAGTGTTTGTATTTATTGTCATTTATATTTATTGTAATAATTTAAAAAATAAATTTATTAATAAATGAAATTTAAAATTTTCATATATATAAATGATATAAATAAATTTACTCAAAAAACGTGTGGTATTTGCAAGTACTAAATTAGTACTAAATATTTAAAAGTAAGTGCAATTATGGCCATTATTGTTGGCACGTCTAATTTTGATAATTGATGTAATTTTATTCATTTTTAACAATTTTAATATATTTTTCAAGCAAAATAATAGATTTTTAATAAAATTTTAATATTTTCTGACATGTTTATATTTGGTTGTATTTTTTCATTTTTAATTATTTCAAATGACAATGAAATGTGTGATTTCAAATTTAATGCGACCATATAATTTGAAAATGCGACCATATAGTTTAAAAATGCGACCATACAGTTTGAAAATACGACCATATAGTTTAAAAATGAGACCATATAATTTTGAAAGCTCACATTACTTCAATTTATCAAGTACTGGTAGCAATTATTCAATCATTAATTTAAGGTAAACTAAAAACAAATTGAACTTTTAGTTTTTAAAAAAATGTGGTAGTTTTTTTTCAGCAAATTTTTTCTTAAACATGCCATAGTACACTTCAAAATGAAGTAATTTTTTTAACTTTACAAATTTGCCTTCAAAATTGAGCAAAATAATTAGCCAAATACGCAATTGAATAATTACTCAATTTGCAATTTATACAAAAATGCAAAAAAATTTTTGCACATTTCAAAAAAATAGCAATTAAAGTTACTTGCCCAAAAATTAGACGAATTTCCTTTGCAAAAGCCTGTTTTGTGAAGTAACTTTAACGTTTTACAAACGAGATTTATCGCAAGGAAGAGCTCAAATATGCTTAAATTTTCTTTCGAATTTATCCATATCAAAGTGCTATCATTTTTAACACTCATGCATTTCATCTATACCATATTTATTCATTTTTGTAATCCATTCAAAATGTTGCATTAAATTCTTTATTTTTTATTTATCTCGATTTTTAAACTTTTTTTCACAATTTTTAAATTTTAAAAATGTTTTGCTTTGGTAATAATCCTTTCAAATTTACAATTCAAATATTATTAAACCAATATGCAATCAATGACTTTGTTAATTTGGTACAACTTTTTTGTGTGCCACTTTTTTTTTCGCTCTGTTATTTTTTAAATCTAATTATTTCAAAATTTGTTAATTTTTTAAAATTTTGTCAATTTTTCTTTTGATAAAATTACAACTTTGTTTAAAATATTGTTTCTTTATGATCAGTTAGTTTGAATAAAATTCTTAACACAAATGCAGAAACGAAAATATTACATTAGTTAGAGTAGAAAAAACTTGAAGTTAATCAAAATTACGAAAAAAAAATTCCAAATCAGCCAAACTGCTCAATTTTTTGGTTTTTTCTTTTTTTTAAAATTAACATTAAATTGGCAATAATTGCAGTTTCGCTTTCTTCTACTACAGAGTAAAAGTAATTAATTGTCCATTACGTGGATGACGTAACAATTACTGACTTTGAGCTATTTTGATGACAGCATTAATTGAATACTTTTTGATAGCTCGTGCTTTTTTAAAATTTTGTTTGCTGTAAATTTTCAGAAAATTAAAATTTATAAAAAAGATAATTTTTTTAAAAATTAAAATATATGTTTTGTTCTGACTGACTTATTTTTGCTTTTTCATATGAATTAATTGAATTTTGCATGCATTTTATTTGCTAAAAACTATTTTGCCTTTAACTAATAATTTTTGATTCTTTTTGCAAATTTAATTTTTGCATTATTTGTTAAATTTTTTTCCAACCTTTATTACAATAATACTCTCTCCTCCAACCCCTAAAAAAATCAGAAAAAAAAAAACAGACGAAAAAACAAAAATTGTATATCACTATCATTTACACTTATACATTTGATTTACTTAATGTTAAGTATTGAACAAACTTGAATTTGAATTAGAGAACTCAAATTATTATCTACGTCTATGATATTTATTGTAAACTTGTTTTTGGGAACACAAATATGCGACAACACTTTTGTCAAATATTATATCAGATCAATCATATTTATGTATTTTAATTATTGTTGAAGACACTAATTGCAGTTACTTCTGATTTATTGTACACAAAAACTTGAAAAAAATGACATTAAAAAGTCATAAATTAATTTACTTTAAATAAACTAAATTAAAATTTTATTTTTTACCATTTTTGTATGATTTTCCAGTTGTTTCCATTTGACAAACAAGTCAGTTCGGTAGCATTTTTTTTACTTTCAATATAAAACTATTGAATTTACTATGAAAATTCTGAATTTAGCAATTTTTAAAGTAGTAAACACCTTGCATTTTTCAATTTTAGAACTAGAAATTTTGCGAAATTTGAGTTTACTTCGTTGTTTTCAAACTAATTTCAGTGAATAATTGAATTTTAATTAATGCAACTTAAAAAGCATTTAAGTTAATTAAAATTTAATTCTATGCGCTATAATTTATGAATTGTAACGATTAGTTTTTGAATTTCGAACACTTTACATTTTCCAATTTTATCACTTGTAATAAAATATGTTTTCGCAAATTTGAAATTGCGCAATATTTATGAAAATTGCTTTAATTAATGTAACTTTGCTGCTTTATTCAAAAACATATTATTTAAATTCCAGGAAATTATGTTATCGCTAATTCTGTTGTGTTGTGTTTGCGTAAAGTATGTGAATACGTTGGGTTCAGTACCATCAACTTATGAAAAAACAATCCGCAATTGTTCTAGAATACCAAACGCATATTGCTGTACGCCACGTGTTCGTTTTGCTTGTTCACAACAGTGTTACAGAACTTCATGTGGTTCGACTTTTTTTTCTGAACAAAGTATGCTATGCATAATTATCGAAGATTTTTAAAATCAAACCTAGAAATTAAATATACCATTTATTTTTGATTTAAAAAATAATAAACTTGAACATTTGTCACTAATTATACTCCCAATTATTTATACTAATCGTGAAATTAAGGATAAAAGGTTACCGCAACTCATTTTTGAATTAGTACAAAATTTTTGTATTTGCATGCATTATTTTATTTACGTATAATCAACGGAAATTAATTCTTTTAATGTTTTTCAAGTTCTTTACATTGTTTTATTTAAATATTGTTTTTAGTTTCAAACTTTATCATTCTTAGCTAAATCAGTGAATAATTATATATATAATGAACTTGAAAAACATTAAAAGAATTAATTTATATATATATATATATATATATATATATATATATATATATATA